ATTTTGAACTTTGACCGGCCGCCATTTTGTCAAAAATGAACATTTTGACCTGCGGTTTGCGTCAAAAATTTTCTTTTTTTATTATCTTTCGAATGAGGTATCACAAAGGGGGGGTTGCCATTTGAAAAAAAAAAGTTAGCCCCCGCCCCCCTTAAGGGGGGCCACCCCCCAAAATTTTGGGGGGACCAAAAAGTTGCTACTTTAGACCGAGGAACATTCCCAAAGTTTCAAACTTCTATCTCAATTTGGAAAAAAGTTACAGGGGTGGTCAGTGACTTTTGGATAACCCTGTATGATACTGTTTCAAAATAATGCATATAATAGTGTCTTTGCTACTCTAATTTTAATAGTTTATAGATATTATTGATTTTGTAATTTAAAAAAAAAATATTAGTAAAATATCTTCATTTCAAAATAACAAAATTAGTATCTTTTTAAGTTGAAATTATTTACTGATTATTACTCAAGAATTATCATTTTCATTAAAAACTTCATTATATTACCTTCAATTGCACATATAAGTATTATTAGAAACTATTAGAAACTATTTAAATGAAATAATTATAATGCTTCGGTTTTTTAGAATTATTGGGGAATATTTTCTTTTCTTCCGCTGAGCCAAATTTTTGTCAAACACTCCTATATGCAATGGTACCAACAACTAAATTTTTAGTTTGTTGAGACAGCAGTAATTTTCCCCATAGAAAGCCGTACATAAGTGAGGTAAGAATACTCACCAAGTCATCAACAATATGTTGAATTTCTTCAGCTGCTGCCTTGCACTGGTCTTCGAACCCAACAATTGTGATGTGGCTTTCATGTTCGCCTTTACGAGGGAAGCTGATCTGCGTGTCATATTTTTGTCTGATTTCATTTATTTTTGACCCGTTTCTACCGATGATAATGGAGTGATAGTCTGGGTCGATGTCTAAAGTCATGGAGAAGGATTTGGCAACTTTCTTTTCCTTTTCCGCTATCAAATTAGCTACTTGTTCCTCGATTAATCCAACAGCCTGCTCAACCGTTGAGCGGCGGCCTCGGATTTTAATTATGTTTGACCTGAGGTCAGCTTTAGGCACTTCAATTCGGACATTCCCACACTCGACTCTAATCTGGTTGATGTTCTTTCCTGCCTTCCCAATGATCGAGCTATGGTATTCAAATGGCACATTGAGCTCTTTCTCGATCGGGATGAGGTCAAGAACGGCTTGCTTGGCCAGTTCACAATTCTCCGGTCGACCCCAGATGGAGATAGTATCACAGCTGTCTTGAGATTCGTTGTGCACATCACCGTTCACTTGACCTTCACCATGGGGCACACCATCGTCGGCAACTGATAAAAAGTTGAGTACTTTTATCGTTACATTATGATCACGCTGAATATCTGGTAGCCTTTCTTTTCTAATGACATCATGAGGTATCGTAAACTCAATTGTGATTCTTTCTTCCTGCAAAATAAATAGTTGGACATTTTTAAAAATTTGAAGGCACCTCTATTCATTAGTAATATAATAGCACAAAATTGGCCAGCAATATCCATGTTCATAAAGCAGGACCAATAAGCAATGAAGATATGAATAGTTCAGAATTGAACTAGATAAAAATTACTTTAAATCAAAATATTACCAGGGTAGCCAGAGAAGGACCAAATAGTAAAATAATTAAAGTAGAGAATATATTCGCACTCACCAAGTCTTGGACTTCTTCTTGGAGCCTCTGTTTGACCATTTCCACGCCGTCTTTTGGCCCTTTAATCAGGATGGTTGATGATTCTTCGTTGCGAGGAAAAGTTATCTTAATATTTCCGCACTCGTCTTGAATCTGTTCGATTATCCTTCGGGTGAAATGCCTATGATGTTTGGTGTCAATTTGAATGGAGTCTTCTACTATGCTGTCCTGAGAGCAAAATTACAAAGGCAAAATTCAGCACAGCTTTGTCAAGTTTGTAAACAAATAAATTAGTTCACGCACTAAAAGATAACCAAACTACAATGTATGTTGACGGGAAAAAGGCAGAAGATTTTTTAATGATGCAATTTCAACCCATGGAGATATACACCAAGAATGGTTTTTATCATACTGCAAGAACCCTGGCAATACTTTGACTGCCATATAAACTCAAAAAGGCAAACTATGACTTGTCTCACCAATCAGCGACACAGACAAAGGAAGTGGAAAACTGAGTAAACACCAAAAACTGGAGAGGAACGTAGAAATCAAAGTTGGAAAACAGTGGTGCATTCTTAAGGACCTCATTGTTATGTTCTGTAATCAAGCAAGCCAACAAATAGCTATTGGCAGGACAACTAAAGCTAACAGGGTCAATGCAGTTCAAGATTGAGATTTTTTTTTTTTTTTTTTTTTTTTTTTTTTTTGCCAATTTCAAATAGCCTATCGGCTAATCCCACGCTTATTACCCCAGCCCCAGGTGACCATTGCCTGAGACCATCAAACTCAGATCACCTGGCCGGGAATCGAACCCGGGACCTCTTGGTCATAGGGCCAGCGCTACAACCACTACACCATAGGAGGCCAACTGATAGTGAATTTCCATAACCTCATTCCACTAGTGAGAGGTCAGCGGACTTAATTTCTATCTACCTATATAGTTCTATCGACAAATGGACGGTCAATGCTTATAATTTTCAGCCCCTTCATTTGATTATTTGGCTAAAATGAGAAAGAGGGAAGGAACGAACTACCTTTCATCTTGATCCATAAAATATCAACCGCGTTAACCGCTATTTATCTATGTATCGGCAATTAATCTATTTTCGGAGAGTACTTCCACAGGGTGTCTTGATTTCTTTTCATTTCGGGATATCTTTATTTTTCCTGATTTTTGACTGCTAAATCCTGCTTTTATAAGTTTTCCAAATCCTCATCAAAACCTGATTTTTAGCGGAGAAAAATTAAAATTTCTTCATAAGTGTATGCAAAAGCAGAATTCTAGAAAAGAGAATTTTTTCAAATCCTGAATTTACAATCGATTTTTCCTCCAATCTTGAAGAAATCGGGATTAAATCCTAAGTGACCTCAAATCCTAATAGAATCGGGAAAATTGGGAAAATCCTGATGCTAGACACCCTGTTTCAGAGGGTAATTACCCTAAATGATAGCATTACGGAAGATGCCATATTAGATTGAATGTGATACACACATACTAATAATGCAATCTGTGGGAGGCAATGTATGTAATGCAATCAGTTTTGAAGGTATTTGACAGGTTCTGGTTTTTTCATTCTTCCTACCAGAGCTCCATAAGTAATGGATCAAATCCTGGAAGCTCTCATTGCATTGAGTGAAGCGAACTCCCTGAGATTTTTGTACAAAATTAAAAAATCCAAAAAAAAAGAGACATGGTCATGAATTTCTTCTTTTTACTACTTATTCTTTTCAAAAGGAACTAACCCCTACCCTCACCAAAATTCTGAGATGCATAGGGAAATGCTGAAAATTGAATAATTCATTAAATGGTTTACCATGGCCTGATTTACACGGTACTTCACCTGGTTCTGATATTCCTGATAATTTTGCTGTCAGTGAGGAGGATGTCAAGAATGCAATTGGTACACTTGATCCTTCTGGATCTGTAGGTCCTGATGGTATTCATCCCTGTTTTATCATTTGCTGTGCAGGAAATATAGTTAAACCTTTGTGTGCTCTTTTCAACCGTTCTTTGTGTGCTGGTACTTTTCCAAAGCTCTGGAAATCAGCCTTTGTCACTCCAGTTTTTTAAAGTGATGACCCGGGGGAAGTCAAGAACTATCGTCCCATTTCCACAATAGGTGTTGTGTCTAAAATCTTTTATTTGATAGTGGCAGATAAGTTAAAATCTTGTGTTGCTGATAAAATCTGCAGTCAACAGCACGGCTTTAAAAGAGGGAGGTCTGTGGTATCTAATTTGCTGATTTACAGCAATTTAATCACGGAGGCTCTTAATCGCTCTCTTCAAGTAGATGTTTTGTACACAGATTTTGCTCAAGCTTTTGATTCAGTGAGTCATCATCGCTTAATTAAAAAGCTACTTGATATTGGCCTTAATGAGCATTTAGTCACCTGGGTTTATTCGTATTTAGAGGGGCGTTCTCAGCGAGTTAGGTTGCAAGGTGTGGTCTCGGACTCTATAGAAGTGACTTTTGGTGTGGCACAGGGTTCTCACCTTGGGCCGATTGTTTTTGATTTTTATTAATGATTTGGCATCAGGCTTGAATTTTTTGAATGCTTTGCTATATGCTGATGACTTTAAAGCATATGGAATTGTCATGTTTCTGAATGATGCTATGCTATTTCAGGCGGATCTGGATTATCTTTCTGAGTGGTTCAGGTTGAATGACTTTGAGTTTAATCTGGGCAAATGCAAAGTTCTGTCTTTTGCAAGGTGTTGTTCTCCGCTGTGTTTTGATTATTCTCTCGGCCATTCTCCGCTTGAGAGGGTTGGTACCATCAGGGATCTGGGTGTAATTTTCAGTTCTAATTTCAGTTTTTCCGAGCATGTAGACTATGTTGTTAACAAGGCTTTCAGGATGTTGGGTTTTATTAAAAGAGGGGCTGGCAAGTTTCAAATTTCTACTATTTTGCATCTTCATCGTACTTTGGTTCTTCCGCATTTAACTTTTGCATCAGTGGTTTGGTCCCCCTATACTCAGTGTGATATCGGTAAGTTGGAGTCGCCTCAGCATCATTTACTTCAATTTTTATCTTTTAAATTGGGATCTCCCATGTCTATTTATGAGCATGAATATAATGTTCTAGCCATCTTTCTGTTTTTTCTGTTATGTCTTTTCATAAATATTTTGATTTGATTTTCAGTTTTAAGCTAGTGAATGGGCTTTTATTCTCTCCTGTGTTACTCGGTCGTTTTAAATTGAGGGAGGTTGCTTATTCTTTGCCGGATGTTAGGCGATTCATGGAAGGTCATTCCAGGACCAATGTCCCATTTTTTCTCTCCTGGGTGCAGGATGGTTAGGTACTGGAATGATCTTCCAGTGGATCTGCAGGAATGTCCGGAGTTGATGCGTTTTAAGTTTTTAGCTAGAGGTTGGGCTTTGGAAACTCATTAGTTAAATTTAATGTATTCTTTGTAAATATTCTGATAGATTCTTCTAATATTGTAATGTATAGTACATCAAAATGTTGCCATGCTGGATTGTGTAACTGTCTTATGTATCTTGGGTTCTTTGCCCGTACATTGTATAATAAATAAAAAAATAAATAAATAAATGGTAAAAAGTTTAATTGCCCAAGCTCCGTCAAAGTGCCACTTTACTAGTGTGAGTGCCACACAGACCCATGCTGAGAGATCCTATTGCAACGAAGGGTGCGGATTGAGAGGCGTCCTTTCCCTTACATTTTTTGAGCTGCATCTTAGTCGACCTCTCAAGATGAAGTTGGAATCATTTGCATAAAAAATTATCCCAAACATGATAGAGGCATCGGTTTGATGAGACTTGCGCAAGCCAGTTTTGCTGCTCGAGTTCAGTCGTGTGCTTCGCCCTCCTGCCCCTCTCTTCCAAATGGTTATTCTGAGCTGCATCTCTGTCAACCTTCCAAGATGCAGTCGAAATCATTTGCATAAAAACTTATCCAAAACATGGCGAAAGAATCTGTTTAATGCGACTCGCTGACGCTGACATCGATAGCGTAAACAACCACCCTCTCCCTTCCATATAAGGCAAAATTGTTCAGTTTTTGAGTTCAAATGGTCTCTAGCCAATTCAGAGGATAGAATAGACCCAACAAAATATTAAAGAATCTTAAAGGCGACCAATTAACTCTGGTGTCAAAACTACCAATTATACGCTGAATTGGCTTCGATCCCCAAAATGGGAGGTAAGACTTCGAGATAGAAAGAAACGCCTATTGATACTTTTAATCAGTAGATTAAGACCTACAATATATAAAATATCATCCGATTCAACCGGGCCCACTTTTCCAATAAGGTTTCCTTTTTTTTTTTCCTCGTGGAGAATTTTCCATAAAGTTGGACCGTCGTCCTTAGGAATCGAAAGGTAAACAGAGAGGTACGTAGCCGAAATCACTGACACATAAAAATGTGTAAAAACACCAAAATCCTTCTGCAACCAGTGTATTTTAAATTGCTTTGAACAATTATGAAACTTGGTTGCTGCACATATCAGCATTGAACTAGACAAGATTTCTCATTCGGAGAATATTTGGGCAAACCTTATTAGTGGCTCCTTGGAAGAAGAAAATAAATAAATATGATACAGAATAAAAAAAAGTGACAAAACTTTTATACCTTTTGCTAAAGATGACCTAAACATACCTTGTATAAGTTACTTTTCAATACTTTAATGAATCACGTTGACTTGTGGCGTCATTTTTTTGTTTGATGGACGATCTGGACATAACTATACCTCCCCTTCGTCCAGCTTACTCATCCAAATACAGAGGTCCAAACCATTAGATTCTTCATACCATGTCTAAATTAAGATATGACTATGGAACTCAGTGGAAATACTTTCGAGGATATCAGGATTTCAATGAGCCACGTTACGGAAAAAGGGGACATTCGCGTATGTCCCCTAGGTTGCGTCAAAAAAAAAGAAAGTCTGAAATGTTCTGTACCCAAGGCAGCAATGGATGACACTTGGTAAAAAAACATGTTTGCCAAAATTTGGGCCGATTACAACTATTTTAAATGGTGCCAAAGGTCAATTTTGTAATGAAATTCTGATATTTGGGTTTAGACCCAGATTTCGAAAAAAAAAACTCGATTTTACCCTGAAATCGTGCATTTATGAGAAAAATGCCCAAGAACTCAAGTTGCAGAGGTTAAAATTTTGCTCGAAGGCGACATCTTCGTAAATGATAAAAATCAAATTGAACTGGAAAACTCATCTCGGTAATTATTTTTTGGGTCCTCAGAATTT